AACTGACACAATGACACACTGACATTCACATTTATTATATATATATATATATATATATATATATATATACATGTTTCATTAAATAATATAGACAAGTGTTGTCTACTTATTTTATGTAAATTCTTTTCATATCGTCTATTATTCTTCTCTCCTCAGTTAGCGATTTGCAATGAAAACCAACATAGTTTACAAATTCAAGTGCCCTTTGGGAGATTGTATCTCCAGTGAATTAAATAATATTTATGTTGGTCACACCACAAACTCACTTTCACGATGCTTGACACTACATTTGAATGAAAACTCTAACATTTTTAGGCATTTAAATCAACATGCCTGGCCGCACACACAATTCTGTAAAATCCTTGTCGAAAACGCAATTATACTTAAACATGAAAACAATAAACAAAAACTAAAAATTCTTGAAGCTACATAAATAAAACAGTTGAAAACTAACCTAAACAAAATAAACTATGAAGTCTCCACAAATGTCCTTAAATGTCTATAATTGGTAACAGAAGCCATTGGTTTATACCAACGGCTTCCCATACTTAATACTTCTCGAATTCACTCTCATGTGGTCATGTGTGACGTCATGAACTGCAATGCGATTTTCACTTCCAGCATCTTATATGCACGTGTTTATCGTTGCTTGGAAGTCATCCATGTAAACAGAAACAGACTATCATCACATTCTTGTCCATGTATTGCTTAATATATTTTACTGTAATTGACATCTTTGATAATGGCTTATGTAAGCCGAAAGCTTAAACTGGATTAAAAAATATGTATCAATATTGTGATTTTCTTTCTTCGTTTAATGATAATGTTATTAAACTTATCAGACGTTATGAAAATAATTTACATAAAATAAATAGACAACACTTGTCTATATTATTTAATGAAACATGTATGAATGAAAAAATGCTGCCTAAATACACACAATATATATATATATATATATATATATATTGATCTGTGTGTATGTTTGTGTATGTGCATGTGTTTATATATGGACAAACATGTCTTGTTAAATTCAATCAACAAGGTTTGTGTTTTTTTTTTATTAATCATTTCATCCCACACAAGGCAAAAATGCCACTAGGATGCTGGGTGTTACAAAGAGTGAGAGAGAATAAGAAGACATTAGTGAGGAGAAGTGAGGAGAAAGGACAATAAAGTAAGAGGGTCCAGTTAAATGATGATAATTGATGTTGCATTTCAATTTTTTAAGATTGTAGGGAACCATAAAATCAGAAAGGAGGTCCACAAGTAGGAAGTGCGAGAAAAGAAACAATTTTTTTTTATTATATTTTTCCAGTTTTCAAATAAGGTGCTGTACACAAGGTTGAAAAGTTTTGATAAACTGTCTTTCTTTCTTTTCTCTCTTGCCTTCACGTTTTCTCTTACTTTCTTTTCTCTCTGTCTTTTTCCTCTTACCTTCACATGTTTGGCACAGCTTTTGTTCAAATGCCCCTGAAGTGTTTCAGTCAAAATCAAGATGGAAATATTTTGTTTGCTATATCCTGTCATTATCTTGAAACACTGTGATTTGACTATATGAAACAGTTACACAGTGTTATACTGCACTGGAAAAGCATGTATAAACTATCAGGTCAGGATTGATAATATTGCAAATCCTTCTTTAGGTACTGTCCTAAACCTCTACATACATTGCGAAAGCACCAGACTAGATTTAGCAACAATATTCAATGCATGGACAAATGGTTGGTTCATGCTTACAAACAGGCAAAGTAAAATACTGTAGATGCTTGCATTTTGTCCAAATTATAAACAGAACTTTTACTTGTCTATACTCTTGAACCATAACAAAACTAACAAATGTCCGTGTATTCATTCCTAATAGGCACGTAAATCAGCAAGGTAGATGACTTGCACAAACATTGCGACAGAAAGTTATGTTCTTATTAAGTTGTTTATGCAAATGTGTCCTCTACTTTCACTTTTCCTTTTTGTATCATGTTTCTACTTTCACTTTCATATTTATTTTCATTAATTGTAAGTACTGCTACTGATCTGGAAAAGTGCCATACATAATGGCTGTGCTATCGTTTGTCTTCACATTCATAAAAAGAATATCTCTTTAATTCCACCCCTTAGCAAATAATTCTGATATAATAGATAGCAAGAGACAAGTGGAGTTCAGGATAGGTGCAATGTCTGTTCACTCATCTATAACTGAAAACTAATAAGTGAAACATAGAATTGATAATACAGACTGAAAGCCAAAAGGCAATGGAAGGGAATCAAAGAGAATAAAGAATGAAAGAGAAAATAAGTGATGAAGAGATGGCAAAAGAAAAAGTAGGTAGAAATAGAAAAAAAGAAAAAGAGAATGAAAGAGAGGGTAAAAAAGAAAAGGGGAGAGTAAAAAGTGAAGGTAAGAGGAAAAGGAAAGAGAGAAAAGAAAGTAAGGGAAAATGTGAAGGCAAGAGAGAAAAGAAAGAGAGAATAGAAAGTAGGAGAAAAATGTGAAGTTAAGTGGGAAAAGACAGAGAGAAAAGAAAATAAGAGAAAACGTGAAGGTAAGAGAGAAAAGAAAGAAAGAATAGAAAGCAGGAGAAAAATGTGAAGGTAAGAGGAAAAAGAAAGAGAGAAAAAGAGAAAAAGTGAAGTTAAGAGCGAAAAAGAGAGAAATGAAAGTAGGAGAAAAAGTGAAGGTTAGACAAAAAGTGGCTAGAGAAAAAAGAGAGTGAGAAAAGAGGTAAGAGAAAAAGAGAATGTAAAAGAAAAATGTTGGTAGGAAAACAAGTAATACGTTAAAAGAAAAAAATGTCTAGTAAAAGAAGAAAGAAAAAAAAGAAATGTGGACAGAAGAATATAAAGAAATAGTCCATGAGAACAAGAGAGAAAGAGAAAATGGTATTACAGAGAAAATAGAGATAAAATAAAGAGAGATAAGGAAAGACATAATGCAATAATAGAGAAAGTCAGTAAAAGAGGCAACAAAGACAAGTGAAAAAGGCCAAGATGGAACTGGATAAATAGAGAGAAAGAAACATAGAGAGAATAAGAAAGATGAGAGAGAGAGAGAGAGAGAGAGCAAGAGAGAGAATGATATAAGAAAAATAGAGCAGATACATGGGTGGGCTGAAAAGTTCATAGGCTGACTATGAAAGAGTGATGCTAGAGCTGTGAAACCTTGCATGAATTAATTTCTTATTATTAATAACTGCATTGTTTCTTTCCAGGTTAACTGACATCTGACAGTTCAAAGAAGGCTATTCATCCTAATGGTCAAAAAAGTCATCAAAAGTCAGCCAAGTGGAGTTTTTTTTTCAGGTTGGGGAACAGATGATAGTCAAATCAGGCGAATAGGCAGTGTGATCAACCAGTTCAAAGGCAAAGTTATCCACAGCAACCATTACAAACATGGATTTTTTTTATTTATTAATCTGACAGATTTTTATCATTTAATAAATAGAAAAGAATCCATTACATCTGTAGAGATCCCTTTGTTTATGCTTGACTGCAAAACTGAGCAGATAAGACATTTCAAGAATCTATGATGAGAAGGATTTGACTATTCAGCCTTGCTTGTTTGGAACTGGTCTTTGTGGCTGAGTCAGTATAGGTATGTTGGATCCTATGACAGTTTCTCTTGTCAAGTAGGATGCAGGTTCAAAGCTTGCTTGAGGGTGAATACTTTTAGTGAGAATTCTTGAATATTTATTCAGGCTGGAGTGTCTACTGAAATATGGGTATCCATTAAAAATAATGTTTAAGTGATACAGATCTTATTAAAGAAAAATATGCATACTTCAGAAACATTCAAACCTGCATCACCCTTTGTAGGAGAAACTTTTGTTGGATCTAACAAGATCTAGCCTGACTGAGGCAAAGCTGAATAGTGCATTATCAAAGAAAAAAGATGGAGGAAGAAAAAATAAAAAATGCTGAGCAGAGAGGACTGAAAGAAAGAAAGAAAGAAAGAAAGAAAGAAGCAAAGAAAATAGCAATGGTGAAGAAAGAAAGAAAGAAAGAAAGAAAACGGAAGGAAGAAAAATGAAAAAAATGACTTGCACAAACAGTGTGACAGAAAGTGATGTTCTTATAAAGTTGCTTATGCAAATGTCTCCTTTACTTTCACTTTTCCTTTTTGTATCATGTTTCTACTTTCACTTTCACATTCAAAAGAAGATAAGAGTGTTGAAGAAAAATGAGAACAGCAAGGCAGAGAGCGCTGAAAGAAAGAAATAAAGAAAGAATATAAGAGTGAAGTTAGAGTGTTGGGAAAAAGAAAGTATGAGGAAGAAAAATGAAAAAGAGAACATAGAGAATGTTGGGAGAAGAAAGAAAGAGGAAAAAATGAAAAGAAGTTATAGTGTTGGGAGAAAGAAAGAAAAAAGAATGAAGAAAAAATGAAAAAGAGAAGAAAAAAGAGAGAGTTTTGAAAGAAAGAAAAAAAGAATGCAAAAGAAAGAAAGAATGGAATAGAAACAGGTAGTGATAAGAGGAGTATAGAAAGAAAGAAAGAAAGAAAGAAAGAAAGAAAGAATGAATGAAAGGAATGGATAGTGATAAGAGGAGTGTAGAAAGAAAGAAAAAAAGAAAGAAAGAAAGAAAGAAAGAAAGAAAGAAAAAAGAAAGGTATTAGAACGGATAGTTATAAGAGGAGTATAGAAAGAAAGAAAGAAAGAAAGAAAGAAAGAAAGAAAGAAAGAAAGAAAGGATAGTGATAAGAGGAGTAAAGAAAGAATGAAATAGGAACAGATTGTGATTAGTGGAGCATAGAAAGAAAGGAAGAAAGAAAAAGAAAGGAATAAGAACAGTGATAAGAGGAGTATAAAAAGAAAGAAAGAAAGGAATGGGAGCAGATAATGATAAGAGAAAGAAAGAAAGAAAAAAGAAAGAAAGAAAGAAAGAAAGAAAGGAAGGAAGGAAGGAAGGAATAGGAACAGGTAGTGATAAGAGGAGTATAGAAAGAAAGAAAGAAACGAAGTAATTGGAATGGATAGTGACAAGACATGTATAAAAAGCATGAAAACAAGTGTAGATTGTAAAAAGTCAGAGAATGAATTTATCAAAAGTGCAGCTTGCTAAAGATGCCAAAAGGAAAGAACACAAATAGGTTAAGGGAGGAAAAATCCCCAAAAACGTATGACAAGAGACAGAGGCTGACTGTAGTCATAACAGATAGTGGTAAAGAAAGCAAAATGTATCTCAATCAAAATGGAAGGGTTAAGGAATAGACTTACAAGTAGAAGAAATAGCTTCCTCCCTTCTTATCAATTGTGACTTGATGAAATAATTCATAAGAAAGAGTTTAGCACATAAATATATTCATACAAATACGAATTAATCCATTTACCCTAGGAATTTCCCAGAGCAATATGATTCCCCATGCATTATTCAGACCATTTTATACTGCGTTGTCCTGAAACCTTATCAAGCTTTGAATTCTGTTCCTGATTTTGTCCACTGTGTGGCCATTTGACCTTTGACCTATCTTTATGCTTATTTAAATGCTGAGTTGTCAGTCTCTTGCATTTCACTCTTCTATCATTGTGTTTAGAGTCAGATATCTGCTACTGTCAAGTGAAAACATTTCTTTTCATGGATTTGCAAATTAAAACCAATTTATTTTCGATCTATCTTCGTATTATTAACCTTGTGAACTTAAAGAAAGCTTTAAGAGGAAATAAAAAAAAACCATACAATATTTGTTTATTTATTAAATGTAAGAGCAAGCTGAAATTAAATGACCTTTCCTCTGTTGTTATCTCCCTTTGGCTTCACTTGATAGATTATTTTAAATTATGGGTGAAAAAGGCAACATTACATCGAATATCTAATTTTATAGGCTTAGTAAGAGCAATGGAAATTTAAATAGCCCTATTTTTATCTCTTCTTGTTACATTGTTTATGATTAACAAGGGAATTTTGATTGCTTTTATCAAATATTTTTCCAGAGACAGAGAGATGAAGGAAAACAAGAAAAAGCAAAGACAAGTGAATAAAAGCAGAAAGAAAAAGAATGTATGATTTAAATTAAGAAATTTAAATAAATTCAATATGATAAATTACTTGCATGAGTCAGTAAATTTTTTATTTTTGTATTTGATGCCTTGAATTGCTTGGGTACAATGGATTAAAAAATGACCTTTCCAGAATTTCCAGAATTTCCAGATTATCAAGAAGCAATTTTATTATATTTCTCTGATTATAAATAAAAATGCTTAGTCAATGGCTAAATTTTGATCTGAAATGTTCACTGTATAATGTTCAGTTTTTGTGATTAATATTAATTATTGACTTAAGAGCATATATATATAATTATTTATTTAAAAATTATAACATAAATGTGTTATAAAATCACTAAAAAATAGTCATTTTGTTACATCACCTCTGGTGTCTTATCAAGTGATGATGGAGAATGTAGAATAAAAAAGCTATATATATATATATATATATATATATATATATATCCCTATATTGGTATATATATATATATATATATATATTTATATATTTAAATTGTGTATTTATATATATATATATATATATATATATATATATATATATATATATCCTATACTTGAGTATATATATATATATATATTTATTAAAAGACATTTTTATGTTTAACGTTGTTATTTATAGATACAAGTATTTAAGCAAATGCTCTGTTTATGATAAACAGTATTAAATAACATTTACCGGCCTGAATGTCCGAGAAATTTTCATAGAAAATACCGTCATTTACGCTGACGTGCCTTACCTCTGGGCCACAAAGAACCTTTCGGTAGACAAGGTCGAATTTACTGCTTATAAACTTCAATCTTCCATGAATCTCGTACATTCATAACTGCTCTGGCGTATCAAATGTAAACAAATGACGTCATATATTAAGAAATGGACAAGGTCCGACAATTTATTTATTAAAGACTTTTTTTATGTTTAACGTTGTTATTTATAGATACAAGTATTTAAGCAAATGCTCTGTTTATGATAGGTCTTCATGCATAGCTGGCTTGGTAGTAGACAAAGGCATGTTGGACAGCCATAGTGCAAGTATAAAAACAAGCTAAAGACTAAACTCTCAGCTGTCAATATGCCTTATTCTAACTTTGAGTGAATTGCCCTGGATAGAAAGAACTGAAGATCCTTGTGCCAGAGTGATATCAGAAATTTTGAAATCAGTCTATTTGATGAAAGACAATGGTGAAAATTGTAAGCAAATATACCTTTTCAAGATCCTATTCCCATTTGAGATCCTTGCTGTTACACAATATGCGGACTTTTATGCAGGTCACTAGCAGGACTGAAATGTCTCATATGACACAAGCCTAAAAACTGAATTAGGGTATCGGATCCTCATATGTTAAAATTGACAGGAAAGTCTATCATGATCATATATATATATGTGACAGAGAGAGTCTAGGAAACACACACACGTATATTTTTTTAGTGAAATTGGAGTAGATTTGGACTAGTGAAATTGATCAGAGCATTTTGTTTACTGATAGGAAATCTGATCTAGGGCAGTAACTGTACCCATTGGAACTGGGTCATTAGCAGACAATGGAAATGGTCAAAATAATTCTTATTGATTAAAACTTGGAATATAGCTGAGTAAGTGAGGAGGACCTTTAGAATTCACATGATTTTGGTTAAAACAGCCAAAACACTGTGATAATCACATGCGAAGTAGTAAGACTAAGATTCAGTTATAGCCAGCTGGATTTTTCTATATAAATGTGTAGTTATGCTGAAAAAGAGGCAGATGGAAGAGAGAGACAGAAGAGAATTAGAGTTGGGCTAGAGACAGTGGAGAGACGAGTTGGAGACTCAAGAAGGAGAATATATATATATATATATATATATATATATATATATATATATATAGAAGATAGTATTTCTGAGTTCAGATGTTTAAGTAGGCATCTTTGTTTTTAAACAGTGTTCTTAATGTGTATATATCTACTGGCCTAGAAATTGAAAGTCATAATAAAGAAAATATCCTTCCTGGCAAAAATCAATCCTTTATTCTTTTTTTTAAATCTGAGAGCCAACTTTCAACCCATGCATGTTTTTTTTTAATTCTTTTTTACATAAGTTTCACCCTGTACAAGGAACTTCTCATTGATGAAACACGGAGTGAATGTGGGTAGCTTGGCTTGCTACTATGTAAGTGGTATGGTGGGACCTGGCTGTCATTAAGCTATAAAACCATTACAGCAAACTTTCCCAGATCAAGACCAGCTTCCATCTGAGGCAAGAATGTGCACTTATTCCTGATAGTTTATGCATACTTCAGACGTAAGAGATGGATTCAGGATTGAAATGTTTTACTAATTCTACGGAAATTTGCTTAGGATTTTCTTCAACAATCACTTGCAGCCACTCATTATTGAGAGAACTTTGTTGTTAAGATCAATTTATTGATTGTTTCATTTTTTATGTCTTATCAACCCATTGCAGGTTATTTAAAGCCAGAAAATATTTTTAGATTGTATGAATTTTTTTATTTTGGAGATAATAAAGATTTTGAGATACAAGACGAGGTGGATTCATATGTAATCAGAAGTTGATAAACAAACAGGAAATTATGATGTAGATATAAACTGGAGGATCAATTCTATATTACAGTCATTACATAAATTGATCCCTCACTTTGTGGCCACGGTAGTTTTTATAGATGTATATTTCAGAGAATATAAATAAATCTAAAATATATACCCACGTAGCTAATTAGTATTTCATTGATTGATACAATTTGTACAGCTTATCAACCCTTTGCAGGTTATTTAAAGCCAGAAAATACTTTTAGATTGTAAGAATATTTTTGGGGGAAAATAATAATGATTTAGTAATATAAGTCATGCTAAATAACCCATAGCTGGGGTGAGAAGAAGTGGATTCATAACTTTCCAAAGGTTATTTGTGTGTAACCAGATATAATGAATATAACGAATTTTGCCAATTCCTTTTGCTCCTGAGATGTTGCGGTTACCCCATCCAGTCTCTCAGAGGTTGATTTGTTTCAGAAGTTACCTTCTAGATTTTGCCTAAACAGGCGGAACCTAAAAGGTAGCAGGTTGTTTGAATTCAGAGTTTCCTTCTCCTAAATGAACAAGGCTGTCATCAAATTTTACTCGTAGCTGAGGGGCGGGGGAATGGAGTCATAGCTTTCCCAAGGGTATTATCATGTAAGTGAATATAACGAACCCAACTTGAATTGGAACTTGGCTCTCTTTTTAACACTTTCAAGCCATTATCAATTACATCACCCACACATCCAAGCTTACAACACTGATATTCCCAAGCGATCACCCATCTAGATGCTGACCAGGCTCAATGTTGCTTAACTTCAGTGATTGTACTGGGTGGGGTTTCAATGTAATGTAACAGTAAACCTTATTAAGATGAAGGGGAATGTTTGAAAGAAAAGATTCTTGATTGAAACTTAACAAAGAATTGTTGCCATGTCTGTAAACGTAAAGCTTCATTTTCATAGACAGAACAGATATTTCTTACCACTTCTGCTGGGGGAGGATTATCGTCTCTCAGTTGCCTCTCTGTCTTCAGACAGAGTGTGGCTCAGTTGTGCTCAGCCTGCAGAAAATAAAAACTGTAAGGTGCCTGGGGAAGAGCTGACCGAGGCTGCACCCCACCTTGCACTAGGGATGTGGGGATGTGGTAGTCATACCAGCACAAATGATACTTGCAGGGAATGGGCAATTTTTTTTCCCTGGCCCAAGTGTACATGCTGGGGTTCCTCATATTAAACCCAAACTTGTGTCACCTCCTCTCAGTGGGGAGACAGGGGAGATTTATTTCTTGCCATTTCTGTTGCTGAAGGACCCTCTGTGAATTCATACAACATGCATTTTAAAAGGGTAGAATAGTTGCGAATTTTATTCTTTTTGATAGTATACAGGGTGCGATGGATAAATTGTCGTCTAAATTGCACGAAAATGAAAAAATTCATTTTAACAGATATAGTTACCAAAATTACACAAAAATCTCTTGAAATACT